AAGTCCTTCTCCTCAGGGCTGCATCTACATTTACATGGAGTTTTCTCTGTGTAAAGTGCACCCTTAGACTGAAAGGGCCAGATTCAGAAGTGATACATGAAGGGCTAAATGGATATGAGCCAGTGGGGTCAGAGAGAAAGTTCCCTCCATATTATCTGCATTGCTACAGACTGAAAATTCTTCATAAGTCATGGATCATACCTGTGAAAATTTGGGAATTGAAGTACTTTTGAACTTTATTCCTTCTCTTCTTGTGAGACTGTTTTGTTTGTTGGTACTGCAGCATTTAAATCTTGACATGAAGTAGCACCAGGAGTGCACCTACCAAAAAGAGTTCCCAGACACCTGGAAGCCAAAAGAACTGATCCCAAAATTATTGCTCCATATATGTAACATTGCTGTATAATTTTATCTTGAAAATTTCTTTATTTCAGCTTCAGGGAAAAAAAATACACTACTTTTTTTTTTTTTTTTGTGAAGAGATGCTTGTTCACAGTTTCTGTGAACTCACAGTGTTTTGCTTTGACTTCAGTGGTATTTGAATCCTTTGCATTTTCCAGTTTGCCTAAATTTGAAACTATCATAATCAGTGAACATTGTTGACCTGGAGCCTCATACAGGATATCTGTTATTCACATGGATTAATTATGCAAGGCTTCATGAAAGAAAGTCATTATGAAGGGAGATCTCAAGGGAATAAGAGAGTCTTAAAAATGAAAGGAAAAAACCATAGTCTTTGATCATCATGATAATAACGTTTGATAATACTGTCTTGCCTTCGAAATGATTTTTTCATTCAGCCACAATGAAATGTCTAAGACTGTTCCATAGAGCATGATACTTACTTTTTCTTCTCAGCTATAAAGGCATATACATGTACATTCAGACTAGTATCCTTGCCTCTGCTTCAGTAGAAGCACTGAAAAGTTATTGCTGGTGATTAAAATACTGTTTCTGACTAAAGCTACCTTCATCATTATCATAAACCTGGAATGGAAAAAAAATACCTAATGCTACCTGCATGGTTTTTGGAGGCACCCCATATCTGCAAGTAGGAAGCAGGTGATCAAGATGTTGCACCAGTAAGACCAGGGATTTTAGGCTCTGTCGTATCACTGACTCTTTAAGCAACATCTGAGAATTGCTTAAATGGGTATATGGGGTAATACATTATTAAACATTGTAGTGCTCAACAGGTGTGACATGAGGTTGAATGTATAACAATCTCATTTCTTTAAGTGCAAGTACAAGACTTGCCTTTTGAAAAGAAAAGTGATCTCTGCTTCAAGGACTGATCAGGAATCTGAAGATTTCTCTCTATGCCTTGGTTTACCTTCTGTAAATAGAGTATTTCTTCTATTTCAGTTGTCATTGAAGAAATGCTTCTACAAGATGTATTCTGAGTACCTAGGTCAGTGCAAGTTTGAGCCTCTGTATGCATTACAGAAATACAAATTTAAATAACAATAATTCATTACAGAATGTGTACAAATCCTTAAAGTCAGTGAAAATATTCCCACTAACTTTAAGACTTTAACTTTAAAAATGCTTTAACTAAAGCATTGACATCTTTAGATGGAAGCTTATATCAACATTTTTATCCAGGTTCTGCTGTTTGCAAAGGGCTGGTGACTTTAACCTGTTGTTACCTATGGGTGTAAAACTTTATTTTAATGACTTTTTTCTTTTTTTCCTTCCTGGGCAGGATTTATGTGGGCATCATTCATGTGATACTCTGGGAATGGCAGACGTTGGGACCATATGCTCTCCTGAGCGCAGCTGTGCAGTGATTGAAGATGACGGCCTCCATGCAGCTTTTACAGTGGCTCACGAAATTGGTATGCAGTGCCTTTTCTGTTCCCTTGCCAAATCAAACACTTGTAACAGCTGCATTAGTAACCAAAATACTTCGCAATTAATTCCAGATTTCCCCTGGTCCAGATACTCACTTGGGGATTAAGGCTGTATACATATGCACTTCAGGGTTAACTAATAAGGGATCAGAAGGCAAGTGAAGGCGCACAGTAGGTGTTTCCTTTCTGACAGTGTCGTTTCTAAGCAGTAGTTGAAGTGAAAATTCAAAGGCTGCTGCTACTGTCCAAACATGTCAGTGTGTGTCCCTCCTGAGAAAGGATTTGGCCCATCTACTGTAATTCTCATACATTTACTGCATACACAGTGGAAAATATCTCACTTTTTTGAACTGCTTGTATGCCCTGCTGCTACGAAACTTATTCTTGGGACAGTGTAATACCTGCAGAAAAGTCTTTCGTGCTAAATCAGGATTCTAATATTTTTCTGAGTGTATGGAAATTCCACCTTTATGGTAAAATGTGTGAATCCTGAAATAAGTGAAATCGTATTTAGGTGATAAAGGTTTGGTCAAAAGTCTGTTTAACTTTGTTTCAGTTTCTACCTCAGTGGACAGAAATTTAATGTAAGAGCCCTCCATATAGTCTTCAGAAGGATTTGAGATAGAATTAGTGACAAAAAAGTTCATATTCTGGGACATTATGTCTGTTATGATATATTCCTTGAGAGACACTGCTGCCATCTTGATTATTTTTAATTTGCTAATGTTTTGTGAGCGATGTTCACTGGAAGTATATTCGGTATGAAGGCTGTTCACTTTGGTGAGTGAACAGCAATTTAAAAGTGGACAATTTTTTTTTTTTACATTCTTGGAAGGGAATAACAAGGAAAGGAGAACTTTCAGACAGCGCCAATTTCTGAATTGCCTTGTACCTCATGCCAAACCAAAGTACAGTTTGCTTTGGGAGTATCATTGCAGCAGTTCAATTTTCAAGTAGCTAGCAGGTAGAGCCTAGGAGTTGTGTACCTTATACATACCTGGCTCAGCAACCAGAGGTCACCAAGGATGAAAAAGCAGCTGGCATGTCAGTGCCTTGACCCTTCAACAATTACTGAACCTAACTCTACTGCTCTTACGGTGCCACAAAGAAATGTAATCAGTAGTGGCTGGAGAGGGCTAATATTTTGCATGAAAACATAAAGTATTGCGGCAGAATGAGTCCCCAGACCAGAGATTTTATTTTAATAAACAAAAATATAATTATAAAAGAAAAAACCCTCTGAAATCACTAATTCAGAGCATTTGGCTGTAAGCACAGCAATACATTAAATACAACTTCACATCAGGTGAGTTTAGTGGCATCAAACCTGGAGGCTCTGAAGCTTACGATCCGTCTCAAACCTGGTCTAGAACTGGGATCAGTAGATAGATTGGCAAACTGAGCCTGTCAGTCAGAGGCCAGTCTGCTGGAGAGATTTCTTGTGTCTTCTGGCATGCAGAAGTGGTGCTTACTGCTGAAGGTTAGTGGGCACTGGTGAGGTTGGATGAGGGACCTCCTTGTCATGGCAGTGTTCATAGATCTGATGTGTGAAGAGGTGAGTAATGTGTCTCGACTACCATTTTATTAGTAGTAAATACATGTTTAGATAGATTGAAAATGAAATAACATAGATCAATAAAGATAGGGATGAGCAGTAAATATACATCTTAATACTTTGAATTCCACACAAAGAAAATGTAAACACAAATGAATTATTTTTAGTAATCTAGAAGCACATTTTTGAAAAACAGCCATTTTCTTACCTAAACATTTACAGGAATCTTTAAAAGCTATAATTTTCAATGTAAAAAAGGCATGAACTGAAATGAATAAATAAGTGCCCTAATGGACAAAAAAACTCTAGGTTGAGGTTGTTTAAAATAACTTTTTTTTTTTTTCCTCCTTACCATAGGATTTTAAGAAAGGAGGGGTGTCAAGTCACAGAATGATCTTTGTGTGTGTGGCCTAAAGTGGGAGAAGTTGAGAAGAAAACACAGCTAAAATTGCTTGAGTACTTATGTTAAATTAAAGGTCAAAAAAAGATTAAAAACAAGTGTGGCATGGATACCCTTTAGTTAAGCACTTTGGGGAAAACCTGGCTTTATTTTATTTGGAGACCAGATTTCTTCCTACAGTTCAGAAGTCTTAAAGTTCCCCTCAGTCCTGCGGGTAGGGTGTAGCTTTAATTTTACAGCAGCTTAGTTATTCAGTGGAATTCACCTGGCAATGTGGGAAATGCCCTGCAAGACAGGGAGGATGCTAAGTGCTCTAAGCTAAGATGCTTCTTTCTGTCATTAGGAGGGACAAGGTGAGCAAATCAGAGTCATCGTCTGCAGTTCTTTAAATAAGCCTGCTGCGTGTGCATGTGTAGCAGATGCAGCATCATTAACATGGCCTTGATCCAGAGAATGGCTGTGTGTCCTCGCTTTGACTTCAAGGGGATCTGAATGCTCTTGTTTCCTCTCTGAAGGAACCAAGAGCATTCTTGAGGATCATGTTCTTTCTCTGGAAAGGAACCAAAGTAAATGGAATTGCAGCTCAGCCACATAGGACAATGCACAGCCCAGGGACTCAGGTTGGATATGTGTGTAGCAAACCAAAAAGCAGCCTGCTACAGAATATAGCCTGCTGCCTCTGTTGCCAGGGTTTCTACTACATTATGTGTTAGATGTTTATTTTATTTCTTTTATCAAAAATAGATAGATTTTGACTAGTGGTTTTTGAGGGGGAGGGAGTATGAATAAGCAGCAATAACAGGCAAAATGTCCAAAAACCTGTAAACGAGAGCACAGAAATAAATAGATGCAACCAAATTCCTATTACAACTAATGAACTGACAGGGATGGGGATCCATATATAAAGATTGATGAGGTAGGACCTAAATCTTGTCCTACTTGTATGTAGGAAAATCAGGAATAATGTCTCCAATGTCAAATGCAGTAAATGAGGATAATGCAGCAAAATACCAGGAGGAAACCTTGTAACTTTGAATGTGATAACCCAGTCTCTCCCTAGAATTAAAAAAGCAGTGCTAATAGCATAAATGTAATTTTTAAATCATAGCCTGTCAAGTCATCCATCCATTTATGGTAAATCCATATATGATTATTTTCTAGAAGGGGACTTGCTGCTATCAGTTTGGATAGCAGTAGCTTTGCTCTCACAGAAGTAGTCTTCTGGATTCTTGCCTGAAATAATCGGTTCAGCTCCATGTTGTGGCATATAGATGTCTTTTTTGACTTGAAGCAACTCCTTCAGCTATACCTCTGTAGCTCTGCAGTGATATCTGAGCTAGCTTAGGCATAGTATGTAGACATTCTCCAAGCCTGTTGCTTGTAAAAAAATGATGTTTCCATGTTTCATGCACTTCCCTGCTTTGCAGAGACATCTGCATAAAAGCACTAGGGAACCTGTGATTGCTCATAATCGCAACATTTATTTGATGTTTTTCATAGGTCAGCACTACCATATTGCTTCTCCATGTATCCCTTATTTAAAAAAACATAGGGAAACAAAAATAACTAGATTTTCACTCTACTATTCTGGACTTTTGGGTTGGAGTTTTTACTGCTTTTAGTGTTGAATTATAAGCCAGCCTGTGCATCCTGTGAAGATAAGCATGACCCAGCTTACATTTAACATCTCTTGCACTGGGATATAGCCAGTACATGAGAATTCTTTGTATAGTAGCCTGGTGTTGCATTTTGTGATGAAGTCACAGTCAGAAGTTTCTGTTGACTTTGGCTCCTCCTAAACTGGAGTCCTGTATGCATTGGTTGGTGAACCACTGGAACAGGTTGCCCAGAGAAGCTGTGGATGCCCCATCCCTGGAAGTGTTCAAGGCCAGGCTGGATGAGGCTTTGAGCAACCTGGTCTAGTGGAAGGTGTCCCTGCCCATGGCAGGGGGGTTGGAACTAGATGGTCTTTAAGGTCCCTCCCAACCCAAACCATTCTATGATTCTATGCTTTGGTACAGACAGCCCACCATTCTGAAGGGTTTCTCATCTACAAAAACAAATGAGAAGAGTTCAAGAGAAAATAAGTAGAGCTACTGCTCATTTTATCAATAGGTCATGCCAGAATCACAAAGGAAGTCTCAAGAAAAGCCAAGGATTAAAATGTCTCTTGTATTTACTTAAATATAGAAGCATCCTTCCTGCGATCTTTAAACAGGCAAAGCTCCAGTTCAGTTCAGTGAAAGTTCCATGGGTCTAATAAATTATGTATCTTTATTCTTTTCATCAATCTTGAAGAACTTTTCTTTGTTTCAGGATTTTTGGTTGTGGGTTTTTTGGGGGTTTTGTTTGTTTGTTTGTTTGTTTTTGGTAAGAAACAATACAGAGGAAGTTGTGCCTTTTTGCTCAGCAATAATGTTCATTTGACCTTTTTAAAAGTTCCTATTTCTTTGTTGTGCAGTCACGCTGGCATGCTATTACTCCTTCTATCCTCCTGAGTAACATGGTTTACTGATGTTCTTTCCAAGTATTATATTTTTAGAATATAGCTTTAAAGTTGCTACATGGAACTAATTAAACCTCTGTTCATTAGTTTTCTTTTATCTTCTACATGTGACTTTAGAGGAGGGTAAGCCAAAGGGGGGCATAAAAGCAGTCCTCAAATATATTAAAAGATTCGTTGCGAAAATTTATGCAATAAATCATTCCCCATGTCCACCTGGGACAGCACAAGGGGTAATGACCTTAAATTGCACCAAGGGAGATTTACTTTAAGCATTAGCCAAAATCATCTAGCCAGAAGGACAGTTAAGGGCAGGAAGGAATTGCTTGGGGAGGCTGTGAAATCTCCATTTCTGGAGGTTTGCAGGGGCTGGCTGGCTAAACGAGCTGTGGCTTAGGGGATGCTGATCCTACCCTGGGGCAGAGGGATGCCCATGATGGCTTTTCAAGATCTCCTCTCAACCTCATTTTCTGTGGTTATGTGAAGTTATCACAACTTCCTCCACAGCTGTACTCTGTAACACCTAA